GTCCATCTTCCAACCTTATACCAAGTTCCAACCTTGTGGCTCCCCTCCGTTCTTATATAAGTTCCAACATGTACCTCCAGGCCACCCTTATATCGCCTCCCTTATCCCTCCGGGCAACTACATGCCCCCACCAACCACCCACCCACAAACTACCTCATATCATGATAGCGCTGCAGTGCCATTCGCATGATCCATACCTCTAGTACCAATACCAAGGGGTCAGCATATAGCCTCGACATGACACCGCAACACTTATAACATGACCCATGCTTAAAGCAAGCTAGTAGAAGGTGGGTTTGTGCCTTCAGCACAGTAACCGCAAGGTCTGTACCTTTAGTACAATGACCGGGCACTTGTTGTGCCATCAGCCAACAATTCATTTTCACAAATCAGAATCTCATCATCATCATCATCATTAGTCACACCGATCATTGCGCAATGACCACGATACTCATCATCATCCAATCAATCAACACATACACAATCAATAACAATCAAGACATAACAACAACGACACTCACTACACATAAATTCCTAGAACGTTATTCAAAACATCAAACGAGGCTCATACACGTCAAAGGGGGTACAACAGGACACGGGGAAACAACAAATAGGGGAAAACATAATAAGAACCAGTACACATGGAATCCAATACGGGTCTATAGTGGACTCATCACAAGGCCCATAACTACATCCTTAAAGAATCATTGGTGGAAGAAACAAGAAGGCCCAATAATAATTCCATTCGATAGAGGAAAGTATTATAGTGGTTCATTCCAAGTCATATCATGGATCAAAGACAATGCTTACAAGATTCGAGGTCGAATCATTTTCAAGAAGGGGAGTATGATGCGGCCCAACATAATGAAGATCCATCAAGAGTACCAATTGGGCCAATCACAAGGCCCAAGTCCAAGCGATTAAGACAACTCTTCATTGGTGATATTCAAAGATGGTGGAAATCCAAGTCAAGCCCATTTGCAAAAGATGAAGAAGAATTCTAGGCTTTTTATAATTGTTTAAGTGCTGATTTTGGTGATTAAATTAGGCCCAAATCAACCCTACTATTTTTGTTCATCATTAATTTAAATTGTTTGGCATAAAAGAGAAAACACTAGTTGTATTTAGAAAGGATTCCTTAAAACCTTTTTCTAAATAAAACTGTATTTATTTGTTTTCTAGATTAGGTTTAGGACTCTTTTTTCATTGTATTTACAATTATAATGCTGCCCCTATACCTATAAATAGGGCACATCCATATCAGTTCCAGGGAGGCTTTAATTCAATAAAATTATTAAGTTTTTCTTTACACTTGTGTAAGAAACCTTATGGCTAATTGTGTACTCAATTAGTGGCTAGTTGTGGACTCGACTAGCAAACTGATTCGTGGACTCAAATCAATCTTACTTTCTTCAACCTTAAATTTATGTTCGTGGACTCGTTCTTGAATCGAAGGAAACTAGATCCGACTCTAGTTGATTGAAGATTGCATCATCGAGGTACTTGAAGCTACAATGGGATTCTTCCAAGTCTTTGAGGATTCAAGACAATGGGTTTCTCATGAGGTTTAAGGTATTTTGATCCATCTCTATCTTTACATTGAGAGCATTCTTGGGGCAATACTCCATCTTTACGTGAACCTTGGACTAGGTTCATATCAATTTGGTATTTAGAGCCTAGGTTTATCTCATTATCATTAGAAATTTGGTTTCTTTGGTTCCCTAGGTTTATCTCATTCTTATCTTACATACTACTTATTTTCGTGTCTTATTCATTAAAAAACCCTAAAAAAAAATTTCTTTGCATTCTTGATTGTGTTCTTGAATCTTGATACATGTTCTCCAGTTTCTTGAAAAACAATCCCGAAAGAGTATTCCCTTTTTCTTGTCCAATATCAATGATACCTCACACCTCCTAAGCACCATATTACCAACAATTCAGTCAAGAAAACAACCCCATCTCACCCTTACCTATATCCAAAGCGCATTTACGTGCAATCACACCCTGTCCAGATTTCCGCGTTTTGTGACCAGTTTGAAAGAATGACCTATATCTCGAGATCCACTGGTTAGTTTTATCTGAAATTTTGATATGTTGTAGATCTCTTCTGGGGCGTTCTATTAATATATTATAAACTTTCTAATTCCTTATGGTTATTGAGATATTGATCTTCGAAATAAGGGCAGCATTTCTGTTTTTCTGGGTGATTATTGAAATTCTTGATTCTGTTTTGAAGGGGTTGTGTGGATCCTCTTGGTCCGAATTTTTTTTTATATTTACAGTATTTATTTGGAGGTTACTTATCAAAAAAATAAAAAAAAAATCAAGAAAGTTGAAAAAAAAGAAGAAGAGAAAACTATAAAGAAAAAGAATAAGGTTGGGGAAAGAATTTGGCTGGTAGGAGAATTTTGGAGGGACAATGAAGGGGAAAAGTATAAGTTTGGAAGGAGTTCTTGATATATTCCTATTTCGTTGTGGTACACTTGATCCCCTTTTACATTCTTTTTGTGTTTATCTTCTGACATTGGTGTTGCATATCTTTCTGCCATACTTATTTCTTTGCATTCCTTTTAATTTCAAATCTTGCTCAATTTCTTTGCTCGTATTGTCCTTTTTCTTTGCTTCTTGCTCTCAATTTTATTACCTACCTCACGATACACCCTTACTCTCAAAGGCTTGTGAAGTTTTCCAAGGTATGTTTTTCTTGAACTTTGAGGTTGAATCCATATCAACCTGAGCTTTGGACTAGAATTTTTCTTTTCGGAAAAAGGCTTGTGAGAGTATCTGCCACCTTGAGCGATACACGAGTGGAGTGTGTGTTTGTAAGACTGTGTAGTGCACCTCCAGAGCCATCCACCTCTTACCTGTGAGCTGAGAATAGAGAGGGAGCGAGCCAACTTATTGGTTTCACTAACATGAATACTCACATATCTTCTTGTTTTTAGATTTTGTTTCTCATCTACAGATGGCTGAACCGGTTCCAAACACACGTAAGAGATTAGAGCAGAAAATAGATGCTCTAGCCTTTGCCGTGGAAGGTTTAAGCACTCGAATGACTAATCTAGAGCAACACCCTAAGCGAGTGCAACTGCCACTCTATACTAGGGGAAACATTCATGGAAAGGGATGCATTATCGTTATTAATTCGGATCGTTGTATGAATTTAGCTAGTGCAGCCATGGTGGACTACCTTAAGTTACCTCTTATCAATCACCCCCAACCATACAATCTTATTGATTCAGGGGATGCGAGAATGACTAAACAAGTTTTTATTCCTTTTTGTATTGGCAAGCATTATGATGAGGTTCTATGTGATATTGTGCCAATGCGTACTGCACATGTTTCACTTGGAAGGTCATGGCAACATGATACATATTTTTATTATAATGCACTCAACAACACATGCAATGTCACCTATAATAGATTTATACATGTGCTTAAGCCTCTACTTCCAAAACAAGTACAAGAAATTCAACTGAGATCGAAGCAAGCTCTCAAACCAGCCTCGAAGAAAGAAGAAATCAAAGAGAGCAAACTGGAACCTCCATGTTTATAATTGGAGTCACCACTCCAGTCCTCTAACTTAGATTGTAGCCAAACAAAGGAACCGTTATCAGTGGTACAGTGGAAAGAACCAACCAGAGCTATCAAAGTGCAGCCTCGCTTGCTAACAAAAAAGGATAATAAGCAAGAGAAAAGAAGGGGAGTAACTATTTACTCACTTTTATTTCAAAAGCATGCATTAAAATTCTCTAGATTTGTTTGCCATGTTTCTATTAATGACCTACTTGCTAGATGTGTTAGAAATTTGTTTGCCTCCATACATCCAAGATTCCTTAATTTTGATTTTACTAAAACTTTATTTGATAGAGATAAGGAATCACTTGGAAGTTATAAGGCACATTTGAAAACTTCTTATGGCAAATACTACTTGCACAAGGGGTTTTGGTTCAAAGTCAATGGGATTGACACTTTTAGCTTTGTTTTGGGCAATGATTTAATTGTTGATTCACATAAGGGACAATTTGATTTTCCAAAGAGTGATGATGTTTTGCATGGATATTTTCATTGGCCAAAGAAGAAAAAAGATGTAGAATCTTATGTTCATAATTGTGCAACTTACCACCGCAATGCATCTAAATCATTACTTGATATTTCCGTGGATTTTGTGTTTGGTTTAGCCTTAAGCTCTAGGTGGAAAGATCCTGTGCTTGTTGATAATTCAAACAAGATGGCTAAATTTAATATGTATCATTTTGTTGAACTATTACCATTAAAAATGTTTAAATTTCATGCTGTATCATTAGACTTAATTCCCTTACATGTTGATTGTAGGATGATAATTGGAGCAACTCGTGTCAAGCATCCCAATAAAAAGTTCCATGAGCGTGATAAAACACAAAGTGAGCTTGCTAATTTGTCTTTCATTGAAGATTTGGATTCGAGGACGAATCCTTTTCAAGAAGGGGAGATAATAAGAACCAGTACACATGGAATCCAATACGGGTCTATAGTGGACTCATCACAAGGCCCATAACTACATCCTTAAAGAATCATTGGTGGAAGAAACAAGAAGGCCCAATAATAATTCCATTTGATAGAGGAAAGTATTATAGTGGTTCATTTCAAGTGATATCATGGATCGAAGACAATGCTTACAAGATTCGAGGTCGAATCATTTTCAAGAAGGGGAGGATGATGCGGTCCAACATAATGAAGATCCATCAAGAGTACCAATTGGGCCAATCACAAGGCCCAAGTCCAAACGATTAAAACAACTCTTCATTGGTGATATTCAAAGATGGTGGAAATCCAAGTCAAGCCCATTTGCAAAAGATGAAGAAGAATTCTAGGCTTTTTATAATTGTTTAAGTGCTGATTTTGGTGATTAAATTAGGCCCAAATCAGCCCTATTATTTTTGGTCATCATTAATTTAAATTGTTTTGCATAAAAGAGAAAACACTAGTTGTATTTAGAAAGGATTCCTTAAATCCTTTTCTAAATAAAACTCTATTTATTTGTTTTCTAGATTAGGTTTAGGACTCTTTTTTTCCAGTGTATTTTGAATTATAATGCTGCCCCTATACCTATAAATAGGGCACAACCATATCAGTTCCAGGGAGGCTTTAATTCAATAAAATTCTTAAATTTTTCTTTACACTTGTGTAAGAAACCTTATGGCTAATTGTGGACTCAATTTGTGGCTAGTCGTGGACTCGACTAGCAAATTGATTCATGGACTCAAATCAATCTTACTTTCTTCAACCTTAAATTTAGGTTCGTGGACTCGTTCTTGAATCGAAGGAAACTAGATCCGACTCTACTTGATTGAAGATTGTATCATCGAGGTACTTGAAGCTACAATGGGATTCTTCCAAGTCATTGAGGATTCGAGACAAAGGGTTTCTCATGAGGTTTTAGGTATTTTGATCCATCTCTATCTTTACATTGAGAGAATTCTTGGGGCAATACTCCATCTTATTTGAATCTTGGAACTAGGTTCATATCAAAACATCACAGTCCACCACCATTTTCCAGCGGGTGCCCAGCGGGCAATTGTCTGCCCGCTTGAAAGAGAGCAACGGGCAACGGGTAGGTGGCGGGTGTTCGTCCCGCCACCTACTCCCCGCTGATACACAGGAAACTTTTCGGTCCCAGGATCTCTCGTGGAGCCTAAAACCATGTCCAGATACATTCCAACACGCAAAACAATATCACGGATTCAATTAATGGAAATTTAACCAAGAATCATTCCAAATACGTTCTAACACGATTCCTAAACATACCAAGACCCGACACAAATCACGTAACGGTTCAGGAGCATCCGAAACCTCAAGAACATCAAGAAATCTATATGCAAAGTCCTAAAGACAAGTCCTAGAATAGACTCAACACCCGATCATGCATAAACCCACCCAAATATACCAAGAACATCACAACAACGAGATTTACGATACAAACCCTAGGGACAAGCTCTAAACATAATTAAAATACAAGATCACACATATAATCAATCACAATATCAAGATCACCAAGATTGTCAAATAAACACAATATAAATCCTAGGCAAAGCTCTATCAAGACTCAATGTAACACCCCCCCCCCCCCCCAAACAAGCTAGATAAAAAGCCTTAACATGCAGATCATACAGCAAAACTAACACAACGGAAGATAAAATGAGAACTGGATAAAAGAAATCCAAACGGGGTCTTACGCCACGTCTACCAAACACGATAAACGCTACGGCGATCAATCTGCAAGTGTATACATCTATCCCAAAAGGTCACAATCTAACGCTACAATGGCACACATGCCACAAAACAAAGGTAAAGATACTAGACTACCGGCCGCTAACATCGCGCTCGTCTAGACATCACCTGAAAGATACAAAGATAAACATTGGGACGACGCCCGGTCAGCGAATAATGCTGGTGACCCCCCAATACACGTGTCGCGCGCAGATTCGTTCGCATTTCCCCCCTGAGCACTTATTCGCACCTGAGTGCATCCCTATATATATATATATATATATATATATATATATATATATATATATATATATATATATATATGTATGTATAGGGTGGGGTTCCGTGAGAACATGTGCTTAGGTGCGAACAAGAGAACACATCATGTGCATTCATCTAATATTTTTTAATGGTACAGATTAGATTAAGTGTGAGCGAACGCGCCTTAAATGTGTGCAAACACACCAAATCGCGTTTGCACACATTTAATGCGTGTTCTCACACATTTAATCTAATTTGGAACATTAAAAAATATTAGATTGATGCACACGATTTGTTCTCACGTTCTCACCTAAGTAGGTGTTCTCATATGATCTTAAATATATATATATATATATATATATATGTATATTATTCTTAGTGGGATTAGGTTTCTTAAGTGGGCTCAGGATTTGGGCAAGGGTCCATAATTCACTGTGGGCCACATTAATCAATTATGGGGAATTAAATCCTTTTTAACTGTTCTTGGCGGAATTAATTACATAATTAATTCTGGATTTGAAGATCGTAAAACGGGGTATTACACTTAGCCTGTGCACCTGTAAATTTATGGTTGTGGCATAGCTGTAACACCCCGTGTTACGGACTTTAACCCCGGATTAATTATTTAATTAATTCCGTTAAAGAATAGTTAAAATGGATATATATAGTTAAAATGGATAATTATTCGATTATATATATATATATATATATATATATATATATATATATATATATGTATATACACACACACACACACATTCCTAAAGTATGTAGTAATCCCAATTATATTCGTATGATACACTTACACGCATATTATTATTATTATTATTATTATTATTATTATTATTATTATTATTATTATTATTATTATTGTTGTTGTTGTTGTTGTTATTATTATTGTTATTGTTATTATCGTTATTCTTGTTATTGTTGTTATTATTGTTATTGTTATTGTTGTTGTTGTTGTTGTTGTTATTGTTATTATTAATATTATTATTATTATTATTATTATTATTATTATTATTATTATTATTATTATTATTATTATTATTATTATTATTATTATTATTATTATTATTATTATTATTATTATTATTATATCCTCAGCCTAATCACCTTGTCTAATCCTATAAAATACATATGTACCCTAGCTATGTTAATCCTATATGCATCTACATGTTTACACTTAGCGTACCCTAACCCTGAAATATTATTCCGTACAAATTACATTACTCTTATATATATATATATATATATATATATATATATATATATATATATATACAAATATCCTGAGATAACCCTAATTCTATATTTCCCCTTCGCATAATCTCTCTGTTGCCACTCCTATCTTCCCTAAATAATTAAAAACTTTAGCCTCATCATCAGGTCATCAATTGATTTTGGAATTAGCAATCAAGGGTCTCCAATTCTAAGTTGTTTGGGTATTCTGGGCATCTAGAGGTAAGGTTTATGCCTACCTAAAATTTATTTATCCGGATATAAAACTGATTTTCCTAAGTGTTTGTGTGACCAAATTCTGTCAAGATTTCTCAAAAATAAATCTTTTAGTACTTATGAACCTATGTTATTTTTCTCGTAATTTTTAAAGAATATTTGTATGTGAATTGCATGTTCAAATTGTAGGTGGAGATTTATATTTTCATGGTGTATGTATTGTGTGTCAAATCAGAGTGTAACACCCCGTGTTACGGCCTCCAATCCCAAATTAGTTATTTAATTAACTCCGTTAATAATAATTAAAAAGGATTTAATTTGGATAGGATCCTTTTAATTAATTAATATGGTCCACCATGGATTGTGGACCCTTGCCTAAACTAGAGTTTTAAGCCTATTTGGAATAAAGGGGGAAAACCTTATACTAGTCAGATTCTGATTAGGAATCCTAGACCTATATATCTATTGGGAATAAATAAAGTAGGTCATTATTATTCAGATTATGAATAGGATTCCTGATTCTATAAATAGGGGATTAGAAAGCAATTAGAACCCTTACCACCCATAGTTATATTACACGAAAATATTCCCGGGAGGTTCCCCAACACCAAGCCTACGGAGATTAATCGGATGAGAAATCTTAGAGAAGAACCTTAATAGCCAAGGGAGGATTAATTAAGGCTAAGAGGTAACCCATATCTCAACAAAACCTATTTTCCTTGCTATAATTATCTTCTTTGGCTTCCTCTCTACACTTCTGTCTTGATGAATCTTTTATGATATTGATGATATGATCTTGATGATTGTGAGATGATTTTATGTGTGATCTTGATGATCTTGATGATGATAAGAGGTTCTTGATGATCTTGTGATATTCTTGATGAATCTTGATGTTTCTTGATGTTAAAAGATGAACCACGATTTTGATGATTTGAATACGATTAGAGCCCTAGGTTAAAATTGAGGATTTCGTATTGTGTTATTCTTGACATAATTGGGTTTGATTTCGCATGTTCGGGTGTTGATTATGTTTATAAGTCATGATAGGATATGTGCTATATGATTCTTGCTTTTGATCCGTTAATTGTGTACGTGGTGTCATCAATTGCGTTTAAAAGTGTCTAAGCATGGTTTCGGGTTCCACAACGGATCCCGGGACGTTTATTTTGATAAAGAATCAGTGGGGGGAAGGTGGGGGTAGCGGGACCCGCCACCTACCCGCTGCCCGAGAAGGACGTCGCCGGCAGCGGGCAGTCGGCGGGTGGTCCTCCACCCACCGGCTACCCGCTGGAATTTGCCCAACTTGGGACTTCGGCTTCCCCGTTTGATGTTTCCCCAACCCTCGTGGTGTCCCAACGGACTCGGTTTATCGTGCCTAAGTCTAGTTTGATGTTTCGGGTACCGTTCGTAAGATAAATGAGTCTTATATATCGCATGTTAGTTGAATTGGTATCCCGTTGGCCTAGGTGAAAGAAGTATGAACCCCTTAGGATTATTCCTAGTGTGTGAATGACCACGCATAGGTTTCATTATACGTTTTCTCCTCTCTCCCAATGTGTTAATGTGGGTTGCATGTGCTTGCTATGAGTTATGCGTGCATGATACCCCAATTTGGTTGCGATCAAATTAGTTATTCCTGAGCAGCGTTCAGAAGCTGGCTGCGGTTAGAATTACACTCTCGGGCTGCGGTCCACCGTTCGGTTGCGATCAAATGTTTTACATGAGCTGCGGTTCAAATTCCTGGCTGCGGTCAGATGATCACTTTTGGGTTGCGGTCCACCGTTTGGTTGCGATCAAACGTTTTACATGAGCTGCGGGTTCATATTCCTGGCTGCGGTCAGATGATCACTCTTGGGCTGCGGTCCACTGTTTGGTTGCGATCAAACATTATGATGAGCTGCGGTTCATCGGTCGGTTGCGATCGACCCCTTCGTATTGCGATACGAGGCCGGGTGCTGTGGGGCCGTGTCAGAGCTATATGCGCTGACCCTCATGTTTGGGCATGCGATTCGTCCTGTGGCGCCACCAAAGTATGCTTGTGTGATGAGATAAGAATTGAATGATGACGTGAACAAGATGAAGTGGGTTTATGACCATAGGATATATGCTAGTATCTTTATATGCTTGGTTATAACTGTTGAATGTGCTTACCCCTATCTGTCGAGTCTATTCCTGGTTTTAAAACTAGTGTCTCTTAAGTATATATCTTTCTGCTTCAAAATGATTTTCGTATATCTATATATATATCTATCTATAATGTATTTCAACGCGTTGGAGTGGGTTACCAGCATTATTCGCTGAACAGATATATTTGGCTTTCAGGCACAGACGATTAGCTCCGGAGCGCGCTAGAAGGCACAAGGCTTAGATAGATAGCTTCATATTCGGCCTGCGTGCCATAATGATGTAATGATGTTGTTTAAGGATAATTAGATAGTTTATCCTGTGCATCTGAGTTCTCCAGCTCAGATGTGGCATATCACCCCGTATTCTTATGTTTAGTACTGCTCTGTTTGGGATTTAATGAGAATTTACCTTTATTATATAAGTTTTAAAAGTCTTGAAAATCTGGGGTGTTACACAGATAGCTTGCATGTTTGTGTTAAAATACATACTTACACACATTCATGTATATATAAAGCATGTTAGGCAAAACTGAATGTTAGAAGGCATCCATCCCACTATGCATATATACAACATTATTAATTACAAACAATATGCATATATGTGCCAATACTTGTATGCTTAGTATGCTATGAACAATCCCGTATAACACCTCGTGTATTCATGGAGTACGAATTAGACATAAAGTACTCGTCTATGAAATCCGGTGAAATATTCCGTATGTGCTAAACGTTAGTATTTATGTAAATACTTGTTATGTGATTATCCATCATTAATCATGATGTGCAAAATAAAGGTCCTAATTCTATTGTCTCCCTATAGTTTATTTACCCCCTAAGAAGCAAGAACCTTTCTCCTAATTGCTTACATGAAGATCTTTTCATCGAAAATTGATCTTTTATTAGTTCGAGTAATTGTTATATGATTTATGACCTTCCTGAATTTATAGACAATTGTTTGGTTATGCCACAATGATGCGTGCGTGAATTTATTAAGCACTAGTTTAACATGTTGAGTAATACGTATATGTGTTGTGTGATTCCATAAGACTAGTGATTATTTTAG